TTGCCGATATTATCGGCCGATATGAGCCTTTCGCCAATCTATCAGTATCGGCGAATATGCCGCCGATATGATTTTTTTTTTTTACAGAACATATAATGCAAATAAAATGCTTGAAATGGTGTAATTACTTAGTTTACCACGCTCCATTGTTTGCTACTGGCGACCTGGATGAAACGCTTTAAAGCTCAAGTCAATGGAAAACCATTGAAACTTTGAATGGCCATATCTCCGTAACGGCGCGGCAAATCCACACCAAATTCGGGGGATCCCTTCATCTCGAGGAACACCCTCGAACGCGAATCAAGTGTACGTCTCGATGCCCTCTTTCGAAGGAGACCACCCCCGCGTGGATAGCCCCCAGGGTTCGGGAGTTACGGGTGGTTAAATTCGCGGTCCGGCGCCGACCGATCAAGCGATCCCGGGGGGCGGTGTTCGAGAGGGCTTCTCGAGCTGAAGGGATTCCCCGAATTTGGTGGAGATCCGCCGGCGCGTTCGTGAGTTAGTGACACCAGTCAACACTTTCCCTTCAATAAGGAGGTTTCTTGTTCAGGCAGCATTCAAGCGTTGTCTTATTCGATCGTAAGTGCCCTGCAAAGTGGACTTCACATGAAATTCCGCCATGATTCCAGTTCCAAGGGAATATACACGCTACATTCAAAGGGCATTAAAGTACGCGAGACGTGAATTTATATTGTATTTATTTACAGAGGTAGGGGAGAGCGGGGCACAAAGTAACACTTTTTGACTTTCTCAGTTTGTGTAAATCCACATGGGGTTCAGAATATATATATTTTTTATCCACAGTAATTTTACACTTGTCTAGTACAATGTCGCTTTGTTTCATACTAACAATGGACCATACATATACAGGTACTTCTCAATAAATTAGAATGTCATGGAAAAGTTCATTTATTTCAGTAATTCAACTCAAATTGTGAAACTCGTGTATTAAATAAATTCAGTGCACACAGACTGAAGTAGTTTAAGTCTTTGGTTCTTTTAATTGTGATGATTTTGGCTCACATTTAATAAAAACCCACCAATTCACAACAATCTCAACAAATTAGAATACTTCATAAGACCAATAAAAAATTTTTTTTAGTGAATTGTTGGCCTTCTGGAAAGTATGTTCATTTACTGTACATGTACTCAATACTTGGTAGGGGCTCCTTTTGCTTTAATTACTGCCTCAATTCGGCGTGGCATG